TTCTGGGATTAACCATGATGCTTGTAAGCTGGGAAGGGAAAAATAAAAAAGAATTTCAGCGCGGGCTATCGTTTGTTTATTGATTTGTTTATTTGTTTACTCGACCCATAGAGTACTCAGTTTACTCTCTACAATCGTGTCCAACTTGTCAATGTTCTTTCATTCGACAATCAAACCTACACCGCAGGGGAAGGTTTTATGGAATTTCCTCAGGTTCTACCGGTCTCCAATGAAAATCTTGAGAATATTGGGAGAATTTCCTGTTTCAAACACTTCTTCATTCTCATGAGGAGAATATCTGTCTGGTTCTCTTCACAACAATTCCTGTTCAAGCTCATTCACAGTCCTATCTTCTCCTGCGGGATTCCCTCGTGGGTCGCATGTTTCTCGTAATCGACAGGGGACGTGCTCCACGAGAGTGTTTGAATTACCCACCACTGATTGGCAGGTGGTGGTCATTGGGGCTGCTCCTCTGCTTTGGTCAGTCTATTTCTCGATGTCTCCCCAGTCTCTCCACGGTGTCTCCTCTCAATGACTACAATTTCTCCTATGATACCTGACGTTTGTTTGCGTTCGTTCGTTCGCGGCGGCGTGGGTTTGACCGTCAGCGGATATCTCCTTAATCATCTCTATCATCGTCATCTTTGGTGTTGTTCCCCGTTGATTGATACAACGACTACTACTCGACGGCCACTTACCTGACAGTCGTCAGACACCTTTTGTCTGCTGTTTTACATTTTTCCTGGATTTCCTCCTAATCAATTCTTCAATCAATCAATAATTGTTCTGACATTGGTCTTCCGCTTCCAATCAATTTGCTCAGTAATGATATTTTCCATTTTTGCTTTCTTGGACCCCATCTCCCATGGAATTCTTGGATTCTGCTCATTTTGGAAGCCCCGTGGAAGTTAAAATGGTCAGCATGGTTCAATGAGAACCCCTCAGGCCCGGCTCTCAGTTATATTTAATCATTTTGAAGTATTCAAAAATATATAGGAAGATTTTTCGTTATCGGTCTTTACTTCCAATTACTTCCCTTTGTTACAGCCTGGTTAGCATTAATTCTGCCAGCACAAGCCTTATATGACCATAAGGAAAACCTCATGGGTCTAATCAATTTCATAAAAGTGCTGCTTTTATAATATTATTTCAGGACCAAAACCAAAATTCCTGTTTCTGAGGGTTTTCAAAAGTTGGTAGACTTGAGCACCCAAGTTTCTCGGATAATGAAACCATGATTATGGTAGAGATACTAAGCAATTCAAGCAGAGATTTATTTCTTTGTTTACTATTTTATTTATTAAGAAATTTATTTATTTATGTATTTATTTGGAAGTGCACAGCTGCAAGAGTGTATTATTGAAACAGAAGCATATTTGAATGCAAAAATCGGCCATTAATCAATACCTCACTTTTGTATCAGAGTGTGTAGCTGTTTCAATGATTGTTTATGTTTACAAGTTGGTTAGTAGTGATACTTTTCGATAAGAAATGATAGGGAATGAGTCAGAATCTGTATCCATATAACACTTCTTGTACTACACCACTTGTTTTCGGATACCCCGATAGGGTAAAGTAGCGATCGGACCCAGGATAATGCGGGATCGCGTGTGGGTTGGATTTGATTACTGCAGGATTGATTCCTATAATATACAAAAACTTGATAAACTTTCTTCTGTGATATCTTTCTTTTCTTTTCCAACCCTTCCAATCGGCCCTTTTGGAAGCTGATTGGATAGCGAGTTGTACTTGGAGAAAGGAAGATATTTTGTGGTGGTGACGGGACGGTTTCAAAACCATTTTCTACGGTGCCATGTTCGACCAGGTCCTCACTGGATCTATAGGTGCTTAGGTATTTACTACATGGGAGTAGATGGTAGAAGCCGTGTTGGGATGCTTTGAATACTGCCAACTAGAGACTCAGCCAAGCCATTTTTTGCTGCCTCACTCCCCACTATGAAAACGGTTGGCACCCATGTCCTACCATACACAATTACCTCGGTTGTATATAAACGAGAACTAAATGCCATTTTCAAGTGAATTTTCTGGAAAAATCGATGACTTCAACGTAACAGATGGTTTTTTAGCTTTGATTGCGAACTTCCGTAGGGTCCATTAGATAAACAA